GAGGTGTGTGTTTTGGGGGGCTGGGGGTTTTGGGCACGGGGTAAAGGGGGGACGGGGTAAAGGCTGTGAACGGGGTTTCGTGACTTTCTTTAGTATTTATATATCGCTACTACAATTAAACAAGGTTTCCTCCACAAGATGCTCATGATACGTTTAATTGGGCTTTCCCCCATAGTGGATTAAGGCCCTCACTTCAGTTGTACTGCAACCGCTCTTAACCGCCATGAGCCCCCACGTGGCCAACTGAAACAGCTCCCCTCTTCTCTCACCCGCAGCAGCTCCGCCCCGGCATCCGTACTGCCCTTTCGAACAGCCTCCGTGGTCGATTTCATGTGCTGTACGGCGGACGGGGGCCGTACAGCCGGGAGAAGGGCAACAGCAAAGGTTACAAGGTAGTTGCAGTTAGCGGTTGAATCCGTTGAGATGTTGGCGGAAATTTGGCACATTCGGGGGTGACGTGAGGCTACAGTCGTATGGACGGTTGGCTTAAGTGATGCGATAGTGGCGATGGTGATGGTGATGGTGATGGTGATGGTGATGGTGATGGTGATGGTGATGGTGATAGCGATGGTGACGTCGCAATAGTGTTAACAATGTAAATGTGATGATGCTCATGAACCCCCCGAGGAGCGGATGTTTAGTTGTTGGAGCTGAGATGCATCATGAGATTAAACAGGAACCTACAAAACCGCGCCGCTGCGGCGGCTGCAGCGCGAACAGCTCCCCGTCCCCGGGTGCCCGAAAAGCCCCTCCAGCGGGGGATCAAACCATCTTCTCGAGGTCAGAAGAGGGCAGTACGGCAGTACATCCCTCATCGGCATCCGTTAGTCCATCCGTACGGTCGTCCGTACACCCGTACACCCGTACATTGTAGCACTGTATCCACGTCCACTCCCCGGGTGGTTGGTATCTTGCGTGAGCTCCGGACGCGTAGTTCTTGCCCAGGAGGTAGAGGTTGAGGGGCTGCGTGTCCTCCACCCACTGCAGTAAACCTGTATGTGCGTGTGTGTGTGCGTACATGCACACGGAGGACGTGTGTGTTTCGTGTGTACGACTTCGGCCCCGTGAACCCCAACGTCCCAACCCTTTTGAAACGCCTTTCCCCCCCTTCCACCACCACAACAACAACTAATCCCCCCCTCAAATAAACACCCTACAACACCTGTACGTGGCACGCCGCATCGCACATACACATACATTTACACACATACACACGCCTCACGACCACCGTCTTCCCCCCTGCCCCATGGCCCCCCTGCCGTACCTGCCGTGGGTGAGAACGGCACCACTCGGTATGTGGCAATCCTCAGCCCCCGGCGGGAGGCGGCGGAGTCCCTGGCCAGCAGCCCGTTGATCAGTGCGAAGGTCTGCTGCATAACCGCGTCCTGTGGGGGGGCGTCGCGTGTGTGTATGTGTGTATGTGTGTATGTATGTGTATGTGAATGACGGTTACAATTACCTGACCGGGCCTGACACTGGCCAGGGGCTGTTGTCCAGCCCCAACGAGCGTGTGTGTGCGGGGGGGGGGGATGTGTGTGGTGGTGGTGGTGGTGGTGGGTGGGAGGTTTCTTGGGGAACGTTTTTGGCGGGGGATGACATTGCTGTCTGTGTAAGCCCTAAGTTAGATGCAGTCGTAATGGAGGCGGGGGGGGCGGGGGGGGCGGGGGGGGCGGGGGGGGATGACTTCATGCACGGAGCACGTGATGTGTTTGCGGGGAAAGAGAACAAAAGGAAAATGAATGTAGGGTAAACAGACACGTCAGGTATTATGCGCACGAATGTACTTCTGTAGTACGGGAGTACGGAGAATGTAATACCTGTCG